TCCCAAATCGGTCAAATCTAAATTATTTCTAGATAAACACTAGTATACTATATACCACCGTTCATTACTAGCTGATAATAATAAAAATAGCTACTCTTAATAACAATGAATAATAATAACTGTATAATAAGAGTATAAGACGTAACAACACAAAATATTGTTTACTGTGTGTCTATGTATAGTAGATAATAATTAAAATGTGGTTTAGCAAAAAATCATTAAAATATAAAAAAAAATGTGAAGATATAAAATTATACATAATATTATTATAAAGGTTTAATTAGAATAACACACTTTTAAATTTCGTACTACACACTGCACTTTTCGTACTACACAAAGTGTGTCGTACTACACACAATTTTAGGGACTGATTCAGTCTAAAAATGTATAGCCAAGTAGGTACTAAGTATTACCTATGTAATAATAATAATGCAAAACCCATTACAATAAATAAATTTATGGATGGGTGGTTCAACTACAGTTGTCAATTCAAAATGAGATAATAACGAGTGTTCCATTAATAAATGTCTACACTCATTATTTAGAAAAGTTTTAGTTTTTAAAAAAAAAACTTTAAATAATACCTATATACTTAAGTAGTTCTTAAGAACTAAATTTTGAATTGAGGCCCAATAAATGGCAATTTTTACCCCCTCTCTATAAAAATATCCTTGTATATTACCCATAATTTTAAGGTGAGTAAAAATATACTACGTTATTTCCACCCCCCCCCCCTTAAATCAAAATTGTACGTTGGAGGTAATAATATCCTAGCATAATATATTAAATATTTAAATACCTGTTTAAAATATACTATGATATATTTACCTCTCAGGTGCACTAATAGTAGGATATTTTTACCCCCCCCCCTCCACGGTAAAAATGTGTTTTTAAGTGGGGTAAAAATATCCTAGAAAATAATAACCGACCAGTTATGTCGAACATAGATACATATAAAATTTACCTACCCGGTCAGAATTCAATTTCTTAGGATTTATGGATATATTATAATTAATTTCTATAAATAAATCTACAATTTATAAATACAGCTTAAAATTAGCCAAATATTTTGAAAATTATATAATTAATAGCAAAATGTCTATTTGATGCATATTTCTAGTTACCATGCAAAACTATTGTCTATTTTTGTATAGTAAATAAATCGTAAAACTTATATAGAATTATATTGCATTTTCAAACTTTATAGGTATAGATATTAAACATTTATGATTTTTAAATATTTTAAATATATTAGTTAAAAATATTTTACTTTTTTACTTATAAAATTAATAATTATGCTTTTTGTTAAACCTTTACAAATAACATACAATAAGTCTTGTAATTTCAAAATGGATATTGTGAAATTAATTTCTATAGGTACCTACTAATCAATGATTATAGACTATAGTACAAACAAGATTATCTATAACAATTTCCAATTTGATGGTTAATCATTTTTAATTTTACTTTGTTAATACCCTCTATTACATTGTAATAAATAATAATCAAATGCATTATTAGAAAATAATAAATTATATGCTATGATATTATTACCCCTGGGCCACGACGCTCAATTTTACCCGGGGGGGGATTTGAGGGTATTGGAAACCTGTGACCACCCCCCCTCAAGTCACCATCTATTTACATCAATGGCTATAAGCATATTATTTTTCTATTATTCACTATAGAATTATTTGATTGGTTATTATTTTTACTTTAATTTTATGAAGATCCAGTATGGCTTGTTTTCGTCCATGGGAAGATAACAAACAAACAAATATAAATGAAAATGAAAATGAAGTAAACAACTTAGATTTGTTTGATTGTGATATTATGTATAGTGATATGGTACAGAAGAATTTAGAAAACTGCAGTTCTACGAAAGATGATAATAATTGTGTAGACATGGAAATAGATACAAAATATGCAATTATAAATGGAAATAATGAAGAAGATAGTGATAATTTATTTCATTTTAAAGAAACGAGTAAGTATTATTAATTTAGGATTTTTTTTAATTTTTAGTTGGTTAGTACTTTTTTCATCGTGCAGTATAAAAATTCTCCAAGAATGTATGAATGTATTTTAGCTGTTTTTTTTTATAAAATATTATATTAAATTACATGTATATACAACGATTATACCTACATAATTAATGAACAATACACAAATTGAAATAAATTTGCGTGTGTGTGGGTATCTGTCGTTTTGAAGGAATAAAAACGGTTTAATGTTCGACTTGAAGTGCGGTATCTAGTAGTAAATAGGATGGATCTAGTAAATTAATAGTTTGGGACGAAGAGAATGTAAAAAGTAGAAAATTTCATCAATTTTCAAAATATTCAGGAAAGTGTAAAAATAAATGGAAACACTGGAATATAATAAATTCAATTCCGGTTTACGACTAAATCAATTTTGTTTTCTTGCTTTAATTCAGAAAATATTAATTGTATAGACTGATATTTTCAGCAAAAACGTATGTACACTTTTTAAAGATTCCACGTCACCTATAAGTAGTTAATTAATTAGGTAAAACAATATACAACATTTTAATACATTTTTTTTATTAGAATGTGATGATAACATTGATGTTACAAGAAATAATGATATTGATATGGAACGAAAGTATAAGCATGCCGAGTTAAGAGATGTCATGCAATTTCTAATAAATAAGAATTATCCACCGTACATACAGAAACGCAATGATAAATCTAATTTTCGGAAACAGTGCAAACCTTATGATATTGTAAAAGGCATATTAGTTTATAAGAAAACTAATGCACGTGTTATATTAGATAAAAGTGAAAAAATTAAAATAATGAAGATGATACATAGTGGGTCCAATGAAAGTGAAGAATCATCTGCATTATCATCTCACAGAGGACGAGACACAACACAACGCATGATAAAAAAAAGGTTAATATTGTATTGTACTATTAAATTAATTATTTTTCCATGCAACTTGGGACAAATTTTTGAAAATTATTTATTATACTTACATTATTTTTTTTAATGAAAAGTATACCTATATTTGTAATTAAATACAGGTATACAGCTAATAATATTTACCACACTTGTTGTGGGGAGGGGCTAAGCACCCCAGCCCCCCTAGTTGCATTTATGTTTATGAAATATAAATGAGAATATTATGTTATTGGTATAAAACATATGTATCAGGTATTTTTAAAGTAATTATTCAATATATTACATAAATATTTAGATACTTTTGGCCCCATATGGCAGATGATGTTCGTGCTTATATCCAAGAATGTGAAGCTTGCCAGAAAGTAAATCCAGCTACTTTGAAAGTTGTTCCAGAATTACAATCTATTGAAGTTCCAAAACAGGTGATGATATTATAAACCAGTTAAGGTTCGAATTAGTCCGATTAAGAGGAAGCTACACCCACATGTGTTGTCTCCGTCTTACTAATGTACAGAATAGCAAAAACTGTTTTAAAATATCTCAAATATAATATATATTATAGTTAGGTATACCTTAATCCTTTATTTACACAACTGTAAAATATGCACATAAGCCATATTTTACTTACATTTATTTAAAAACAATAAATTATTGATAATAATTATTAATTAATACCTACTTTTTTAATTGTATTAATATTTAATTGTATACTCAAATGAAAATCAATAACAATAAATTAATAACATACATTAAAAGTTTCAAGTGCACATGAATAATATTTTAAATTATAACAAAATAATTAAATTGTTATTCTTCGTCTAAATATCTAATTTTGTCCTAATTTGACTAAATTTGACCTTAAAATATCTATAAAAAAAACTGTGGATAATATACATTTTAGATTTCTTGGTTACAGTAGATATTAATTACTTACGAGATACCTTGTTTTATATTTTTAATATTCAATTGAACCTTTTATTAAGTATCAAGTATTGTGACCAGGTGGAATATTTTTTTTCGACGGTAATCAAATTAAAAAAAAATAATAAAAAACATTTTCAAATTGCTAAAAAATTCAAAATAATTTGAAAATTTCATGGTAGATAGAAAAAGCTCATATAAATATTTGGTGAAAAATGCATGTATTTACTTTTATTTTTTTTTAGAGTTACACTAAAAACACCAAAATCGATTTTGTCGAATACGGGTTTTGCGTAAAAATCTTCGGTTTTCCTTAAAATTTTTTTGGTTTGTCCCGTCGCTTTTGAAAAGAACTATTTTTTTTTTAACTTTTTACCCCTCTCGCAGGTTTCTAATACCCTCAAATATTTTGGGTAAAATAAACCGAGGATAAAATAAACCTAGGATATTTATACCCACGGTAAAATTGTATGGGGGGTACAATTATCCTAGGTTAATTTTAACCCCCGGTAAAATTATACTAGGTTATTTTTATCTCTTATGTCAATTTTTATAGTATTTTTCCATAAAAATTCAATAGGAGGTAAACATATCCTAGTATATTTTAAAAATATCGTTAATTATATGCTAGGATATAGGTTTCTAATACCCTCAAATATTTTTACCCCCCTTAAAATTTTATCGGGGGTATAAATATCCTAGGTTTATTTTACTCCCGGTAAAAGTATACGGGGGTAAAAATTGCCTGTTACACCCCTCTAAGTACCATGTAAATTCACTTTTATACAATAAAAATTCTGAAGTAGAATATCGATGCATTTATCCAAAATGTGGTAAAAACAATTATAAAAAAAATACACATCATAGTTACACAACTTGTTACTTCATATATTTTTCTGACTAATTATTAGTATTATAAGTATCCATTAAAAAATGAAAACTTATATTTTCAATGAATCAAAACGTACAAATTTAAATTTTTATAAATTCTGCATTGAAATAAAACTATATGTAATATTGCATAGTGTTTAGCAAAATAATGATAGGAAATTCTTACAAACAGTTTAAAAACATAAAATATTAAAATTTTAACATAATAAATAAAAATGTAAATTTGAACATTTTAGGTTTTCCGACAAATTGGAGTCGATCTGATGACACTTCCTGAAGTTGATGGTTATAAGTACGTTGTAGTGGCTATCGACTATTTTTCAAAATGGTCCGAAGCTAGGCCGTTATATGATAAAACTGCAGTTTCGGTAGCAAGATTTTTGTATGACGATATAATTTGTCGACACGGGTGTCCCAGGATTCAAATAAATGATCAAGGACGAGAATTTTTGAATTCCTTAAATTATGAGCTCTCTCGCCTAACAGGAACTCAACAAAGAGTGACATCAGCATACCATCCCCAAGCAAATGGCTTAGTTGAACGGCAAAATCGAACAATTAAAAATTGTTTACTCAAAGTGCTGCAAAATAATGTAGATTCTATTTTACAGGGAGTTTTATTTGCTCACCGAACTGCACAGCATTTTTCTACAGGATATTCTCCATTTAAAATGCTATACCAACGTGAAGCAATACTCCCGATCGATGTTGATGGTAGTTCGGAAAATGAAGAAGAAAAATGTGAAAATGGTTTGATAGAAAATGCATTTAATCCAGAAGAATTTGATAAAACATTAGACAAAATGATAAATATGAGGAACGTTATGGAAAACCACGCTAAACAAAATATTGGAGAGGCTCAAAAACGACAACGACTGTCATATGCAAAACGGCACAACACTGGCTATATATTTAAGGAAAATGATAAAGTCTTGGTAAGAAATTTAAGGAGAGATGACCGAAAGGGTGGCTGGAAATATGTACCTTGGGAAGGACCTTATACTATTGTATCCATTAACAAAGGAAATACGTGTACGTTAAAATCCAAACACAAAATTTTAGCAAAAAAACAACATTTAAGTAACCTTAAATATTTTAAAGAATCTTCTAACACTAATGGAGTTGACTTAAAAAATAATGTCGAAGAAAAATTAATAGGAGAAAACGATGAAAATATGAATGAAGGAGTTAATGAAGACTTCAACGGAGGGTTGTATACAAAATTAAATACGTTAAAAGTCGAAGAAGTTGGAAAAATAACACTTAAAGGACTAACAAATATAATGGAAGGAGAATTAAACGAAGATAAAGAAAAACAAGTAATTAATGATATGGTCGATAATGATGATGACGTGGTGTGTACGAGCGTTTCAGTAGTTGATAAACGTCGTCGGGTGTTCAATCCAGTTGCAAAACCATGGCAGATTCTAAAATGCGCACAGTTAAAATTAAACCTAACTGAAGTACTGAAATTTAAAGGAAGAGGAAAATTTTTAAGCAAACCAGCAGAAACAAAAAAGATTATAGGAGATGGTAATTGCCTATATAGGGCATTATCATACTGGATAACGGGAACAGAAGACAATCATATGGAAATACGTAAACGTATTGCTGAGGTACGTAATATGCACATTTAATAAAATGTATCTATTTAAATAATACTTTTTTATACGATTTGGTTTTAAATTACTCTAGGTGGTTAAAACTAATAAAAATATCAACAACTATATTGGCGGGGACGATGACATTAGTATTTATTTAGAAAAAAATAAAATAGATAATGATGGTAAGATTTATTATACTAACTTTTCCAAATACAAAACCAAAAATGCAATAGAATTATCAAGAACTAATTATTTCTTATATTTATTTTTAAAAACATTTTGTGTAATGTAAAAATGATTTTTTTGTAGGTGTTTGGGGTACTGATGTTGAAATTTTTGCTGCAGCTCAATTGTTAAAAACATCAATTTATGTTTATGCAACAACAAAAAATACATGGCAACTTTTTAATAAAAACCTTAATTTAAAAACATATATTTATCATACAGAACGATGCATTTATATAAGAAACATAGGTAATGTACACTATGATGTGGTTCTAGATGTTGTATAATGTAAATATTTTTATTAAGTTATAAAGTGTACAAGTAAGCTAAGGTAAGCTAGTACCTATATTTAAACATCAAATTTAAAGAAAAATTGCCAGAATCATTCGTTATTTTATTAATTTTATTTCATACCCTTATGTATTCTTCAATAGTTAATATGTTTAGATAATTATTTAATTTTAAGATTTTTGGTGTATCAAGGACGCTTTGTCTATTAATTCATACAACATGAATAGGTACCTTAATAGGTGGACTTTTGCATATAAAATACTCTCTGTACAAAAATATGTAGGTACATACATTTATCATTTATCTACCTATATTCAGTATTATTATGTTTATATTACCAGTATTATTACCTATATTATGTATTGCATATATTGGGCACGGACAAATCTGAAATCGGGGACATTTTCGTGAATAAAGGTATACTGTTTCAAGTGAGCAGTGCACAGGATTACCTTTGGGATTACCAGTCAGCATTTGTATTATTTTAAAATTTTAGTTTAAAAGTAATTATAAAATATTATCATAGAAAAGAGACTACAATTATGTGGGTAGTAAAATTACCCCAGCTACGGTAAAATTTGTTAGGCAAGTAAAAATTAATTGTTACGCTAGGCAATTTTTACCCCAGGTGATTTTTAACCAACACGGTAAAATTTGTTGGTGGGTAAAAATCGCCCGTTAGGTTAGGCGATGTTTACCTCAGGCGATTTTGACCTCCTACAGTAAAATATACAGGGGGGTAAAAATCGCCTGTTACGATAAGCGATTTTTACCTCAGGTGATTTTTACCCACCACGGTAAAATTTGTTGGTGGGTAAAAATCGCCTGTTAGGTTAGGCGATGTTTACCTCAGGCGATTTTTACCTCCTACAGTAAAATCGGTAGGTGGGTAAAAATCGCCTGTTACGATAGGCGATTTTTACCTCAGGCTATTTTTACCCCCCTGTAAATTTTACAGGGGGGTAAAAATCGCCTGTTACGGTAGGCGATTTTTACCTCAGGCGATTTTTACCCCCCCGGTAAAATATACAGGGGGGTAAAAATCGCCTGTTACGGTAGGCGATTTTTACCTCAGGCGATTTTTACCCCCCCGGTAAAATATACAGGGGGGTAAAAATCGCCTGTTACAACAATCGCCGGTACAATTCGTAAATATTTGAACTTCAAACGCTCATAAATAATCAATTTGACTTTCCATTGGGCGTTGTTTTTGGTTAAGGGAACTGGGAGTGCTCTGTTCCTGAGGAGTAAACGATAGAGAATTAGTAGCAGTGCTGTTCTGTGGGTAGTAAATAAACATTTGTGTGAGTGTCCAGCACGCCACCACTACTACACGCATATGCAACAACAATTCATTATAATTCCCGGGAAACAACTAGCGGTTCGCACGCGCATGCACAAATCGATGCATTTGATGAAATAATAATATATATATTTTTTTTAGATTCTGAGTGAAACGATGTAACACCTTACAATTTTGTCTCTTTTTGAGCTGTTTACGGACATTTTCAGTTTTCAACTTTTTTAGTTTTTTTTTTTTTATAAATATCAATTAAGTTTTATCTGTTGGACCAAAAAATGTAAAAATGTAATACAAGGCTCCTGATATATTGTTACAATATCAGTTGAAAAATATTAAAAATACATAGGCACAATTTTTTTTTATAAGCATTTAAAGACCGAATTTTGACATAATTTATCAAATTTAAAATTGAATATTTATTTTTTAGTTAAAAATTAATAAAATGTTCAACTTTTATATCTAAGGATTCAAAATTTAAAACAAGATTCCAAGTTAGTAGTTAATTCTGTTACCAAAATATCTAAAAACTACATTAGCACAGTTTATTTTTTTAATCATTTTAAGTTCAAATTTAACGAAATAACATATTAAAAACCTAGAATAACTATTTTAGTTATTTTGTTGGGGTTGTATAATATTATTTGTGGGAACTTGAAACTTCTAAAGTACACCGTTACATATATATGATAGTATCAGGGTTTGTCGTTGATTTATAACGCGTTATAAGTACCTAATGGATATTGTGATATGATTAATTTGGAATTTATTATAGGTACCTATTTTAGGTCAATTTTTTTTTATACCATAGATATGTCTTATACCTAGACTGACATACCGTCTCCTCTCAGAATCGTTTTTCTTATACAATGATATTATATCATTGAATTCAAATTTAATACTATCCATTAAACAGTGACCCACTTGTAACCTACTGTACAGCAGAGCACCTTTTTTTAACTTTAAATTATTGAAATTGAAACTCATCAACAGTTTTAAAATAGGTACTTACAGTATAAGTTATATTTTTATTTTAATTCTTAAGAAAAATTAAAACTTTTATCGAATTACTTAAGCAATATATTTTTATCTACCTACCTAAAATAAACACCTATTGAATATTAAATATTGTTGTAAATACATTCATCATTGGATAAAATAAAATAATATAATTAATCTTATAAATTATTATAGGTAACTTCTACCTATACAAATAACAAATTAAAACTTTTATTTTTATTTTGTATTTAATCTAGTTCCAATAGTGCCTATTAACACGCTGTTTAAAGAATTATATCAGTTCGGTTATGACCAGTGGCGGATTTAACGGTCGTTTAGTCGACAAATGCCAACGGGGCCCCCTCCTAAATTGTGCACTGAGGGTCTGAGGTCCACCTAAATTATAAAGTTGATTTTTTTTTAATTTTAACCAAAAAAAAATGTATATTTCAAACTGGAATATAATTTACCATTGTTTTAATAATAAAATAGTTTAAATGTATAGGAATACTTCAAAAGTAGAAAATATTATAATTAAATAAAGTAGAAAAGATCGAAGTAAATACTTATATAGGTACCTACGTAAATCTAAGTTACGTATTCTACATTCTAGTATTCTACCCACTACCATTGATCACAAATAAGATTATTTATAATTATAAATTAATATATAATATAATTCATGATTGCATGAAAATAAAAACAATAATTTTGTAAGTATAATAACAATCTTTTTATTACTTAATCAGCAGCGTAAATCATGATTTCTTGGAAATCGTTTTCGCGATAAATTCGTAATAAATATTGAAAAATGTTTTAAACAGGGCTGTGTATTTAATTCGTTTGCACTATGTTTTTCATATATTATTATGTTTATACATTTAACCTTTTAATGGGTTAGGACAACTGCTATACAATTGCTATAACTATAAAGTATTGATTGAAATTTAAAATAAGTATTATTATTATTAAATTAAGTATAAAATTATAAATAGAGGCAACGAGTAATTGCCTCCACACCACCAATTCACTCTCCAACCTAGCCGACCGGTCCGTCTACGGTCTACCGTCACTATTGTTTTTGTGAATTATAATATAAAATGGTAATTTTATCATCGAATTTTGTGTACATAGCAGCTCCTAAAATTTGTGTGTAGTACAAAAAGTGAAGTTTGTAACTCAAATTAAACCTTTATAATAATATGAATAATTTTATGGCTTCAGTTTTTTTTATATATTTGCATGGTTTTTCGTCAAGCTACATTTTAATTATAATCTACATTCTATACACAGGAATTTTATATACCTACTTTTAATTTTGTTTTATTTGTAGAAATAAATAAAAACTTAACATTTTTTTTTTTTAATTTGAAAATTTGTTACTATATTATTGATTATTGATTGATATTATTTCTAGCGAACGAAGAGAGATCGGTTTTGTGAAATGGGGATAAGTATGTTACTGATAAATTTTGTAAGAGGCCCCTCTTATTGATTTGCCGACTTTCTTTGAACCCTTAAATCCGCCACTGGTTATGACATTGTATAATTATTAATGTTATATCCAAAGAAAACTTACTAGAAAGTATATTTTACAATTAAATAAAAAAAAACACAACATATTAGATATCACCAGGATCTGGATACTCATAATTAATAATTGCAAAAAATATGTCCAACCACTCCAACTTACATATTCATTGATAGACTATAGTCATTAAGTCAGTTACTCATAAATAATTTGAATCTGATTAATATATTTGGCTAATACTGAAGAGAAAAAAACACATAATAGACTTAAGGATCAGGTACCTAACATATTTGTTAACTCTGATTGTAAAATAATAAAATAATATAATTAATAATACATAATAGTTATTTTTATCAAAATTGTGTTCAGTTGTTTTTCAAATGTAAATTGTAAACGTTATACAATTCTACAAATTTTCTAAAATGTAATATAAATACAATAAAATTAACATCATAATGGAATATTTTATAGCAGTATTGATTTACTATAAAGGCATAATAAATTTAGTATAACATTTTTTTTTCTAATGCACTAAAAGTACCTATATCATGTAAATCAATTAGAAGAATATAAAATAAAAACATTTTGAACTCATGAATATTAATATTATAACCCAACTGGTATGTATAATTTTACTTTAATAAGATAATTTAAAAAAAAAGTATACTTAATAATATACCTTTATTAAGAAATAGGTACTTGGTAGGCTATACCTAATAATATTACATAATAATACATAATATTTATCCATATTTGTTTAATATAATATGAATTAATGAAATAAAAATTAAAAAAGACCTTTCAATTAACACATTTTTTACTTATCTTAAAATATATAAAAAAAAAAATTCTACTTGAAGAACACAAATTAAATGAGTTTTTTGAAAAAAAAAAATGAAACTTATTGTTTTTGTACATCTTCCAAACTTTTTAAAGCTTTATTAAC